CTTTCATTTCCATCATCATTATTATTATTATTCCTACCAATACCTTCCAAATAATATAACTTCAAATAAATATAATCAAAATCACACCGAACGTTTTCCAAACGACTACTTAACTAATACAACATCTATTATAATAAACTCTTTCGTTTGTATTATACTAAAATTGAATCTTAAATGGGTCGAAATCTCAAGTGACAACATGAAATCAATTTGAACATAGTTCAATAAGACCAAACATTTTCCAAACGACTAGTTAACAAATACAACATCGATTAGTGGATCAGAGTTCAAATCTACATCGCCATATGTTGTGTTGAACCCAACGAAAACAATACAAAAAATCCGACAACCAAAGAATAGAGAGATCAAATCATAAACTCTTTCATTTGTATTATACTAAGATTGAGTCTCAAATTGGATTGGAATCTCAAGTGACATATGAAATCGACTTGACCATAGTTCAACGAGCATATTATTTATATTATACTAAAAGAGTTTGAATCTCGAGAAAACATACCCAACCCATTAAAGAAAATGGTATTAGAAGCTTGTATACTATTTAAAATCTTTCTATACTTTACACATGTTGACATATTTTATTAAAAGAATGTATTCAACAATAATTTGGAGACTTTGTTCATTCAAATAAGCTAAACCAACCTCACATCTTAAAATAATATTCTTAATTCTTTTTCTTATCTTATAAATAAATTATATATAATTTAAGCTTATTTTAAAATTTGGATTCCTTGTGATACTTTATTTGGGGCTGCAAATCCCGCAAACTAAGAGTACGGTCTCCGGCCGAGAAATACAAAATATACAGATAGAGATTATGATAATTTGACGTGGCAGAACCAGAACCGTCGAATAAATTAAAAGGGAACCTGCTGTCGACACGTGTAAGCGAAATTACGAAAAAGACCCTAGTGAAATGGAAAAGACGAAACTGACCTTGTTAGCGTTGGGAACCAGTTCTTGCAGACCTTTCATTCTCTCTGCAATTCGTTCTCTTCGTAACTGTTAACAATTACAAAGTAAGAAAATGAAAATTCCAAAAATGAAAGGAAAATAAACGGAGGAAGTTAATTACTCTTTCCGCTATACTGTGAGGATCTGTGGCTTGTCCTCTCCGAGCTCTGACTCTCTGCCGGGGCTGAGCTGATGTTGCAGAACCACCGCCGGAGCCAGGGACAGACGGAGGTGGAGGATTGATTGATACCGGAGCTATGAAGTTCTGTTTCTGTGAATTTGAATTTCCCTGCAGATTGGTGAAATGAAGTTTTAAAATAATGGTGAGGTTATTTTTTGAAGTCTACGATTGAATCGAACTCTACTTACTGCCTGAAATTGATTCTGGCTCTGGCTGGAACCAGAGGCGTTCAGAAACCCGGTGAATTCGTTGAAGATGGAGGGAATGACAGAGCCGTGGTTAATCTGAAGGATTTATAAAATTAATTTACAGGAATAAAATCGAAATGGTACTAAATCGAAACCTAATTTTCGAATTGAACGATTAGCGATTGGATTTGAGAGTTTGATTTTGAGTACCGGATTAGGGCATTTGAAGGACGAAGAGCCTTCGACATCAACGACGTCGTTACTAAGCATTGGAAGGAGACTGGAATCGTCGGAGACGGTGGCGATTCCTCTCGACATGAGTAACTGCTGTTGAAGCAAGGCCATGGCCATTTTGCCCGCTGGAGTTGCGTCGCCGATCTGAAACGCGACATTGTCGGGATTAGATGGCGGCGGTGGCTGGGGAGGGAGGTTTGAGTGGGGATTTGGAAGTCCGACGGGGAGTTCCCAGGGAGGGGGAGCGGTGGAGAGGATTTGGTCGAGGAAATCATCAGAGGAGAAGGAAGGTGGATGGAAGACGGAAGTCTGAAGGTGGTGGTGGAGTTGAGAGTCGTCGGTCTCCGGTGGGTGGTTACGGCGGTGGCTATGGAGGTCGGGGAGGGAGTTGGTGAGTCTCATATCAGTCCGGCGAGAAATAATCAGAGGAGTGAGGGAGCCATGGAAGGTGGGATTACTGAGATTTTATAGTGGAAGATAAAGACAATTTGGTCATTTTCAAGTAACAAAGAAGCGCGTGACGCTCACTTTCTTTTATTATATATATATATATTACAAATTTTACATTTTTATTAAACTAATTAAATTGATTTTAGATAAATTTATCAAAGGTCTTTAATTAATTTATATAATTCTCCCATACCTACTTTCCAAATTCTCTATTTTATTTTATCGAATAATTTAATGATATTAACCATTTTTAATATGTCTGTCTATATATGTACAGAGATGATCTCGAGACGGAGACAGAAAAAGTTCCTATTTTATTTTTCATTACTGTAAAATTTTCGTTTTTAGTTTCGTTTACTACCCAAGAAAATGCAAGGTTGGGAACGGGATGGAGAATGTAATTTACGTTTTCAACCCCATTTAGCTGACAGTTTTAAGTATATAAAAAATTAATTTAACTTATTAAATAATGATTAATATAGGCTAGAAAATGTACAAAATTTGAAGACATTGGACATTAATGTAGCAATATTTGTCCAAAAATTTGACAAAATTTGTAATAATAATAGGATTTTGAGCGCGTGAGAGAAAATCATCTAAAGAAGCGAGTGGAGTTTGAAAAGACATATCCAAGTAGGCCTCAAAAAATAGCCGCCACAAGCTTAATTTTCATTTTATTTTAATTTATTTTCCCACTAATTTTAACACCAATCGCGGCAACACAGTTAGTTTAATAACTAATTATCAGGAGCGTCAATTTTTCAAACAAATAAATTTTAATTAAAAAAGAAAATTCTTTTTTGAATTATAACAACCATTTTGACTCAAAAACAAAATATTCCCGTTAAATTATTTCCATTTTTACCATTTATTAATTATATAAAAATACTTTTCTAAAATTAGATTATAAATCTATCAGAAATGATGACAAAACTATAATGAGTGATGCAAGAAATGTTAGAGTTATCAGCCATCCAACTGAAATTTAAATTCGAGTCCGAATCTGAGATATGGGATATTACAATTTAATATGAGTCAAACCATATATCAAATTCAGTAACATTTACCTCTAAAAAATCTGAGCGGGCTCCTGCGCCCTTCTTTGTTTAGTTCGTTTATCTCGGTGATCACCCTCTAAAATTAGAATCGGGATGGAGATTCTGAATCGGTGTAGGGAACACCAATTCTAGTTCTAGTACGTAATTTAATATGTTTAAATATACTGATATTCTTATGCAACTAAATTATCATTATACAACGTATCTCGTAGATGGATGGATACAGATGAATAAAACATTATTTAATATTATTATTTTGTCTTGATTTTTTTTAATGGACATTAAATATTATATCAAGTTCATATAGAATTGGGTTAAATATTTATATGTGAACTAACAGCTATGAGGAATAAATCAAATTTAAAATAACAATAAAATAAATATTTGTCTATCATATGATCATTACTTTTATTAATTAAATATTTTGGGATTTCCAAAACAAGCTAGGTGGCTATGGTTGCCACTTTATTATATATATATATATATATATATATATTGGGGATATTTATTTTCTTAGTAACAAATAAGATTTATGTCACATGTGCCATTTAATATCATATCACATGGTATATAACTAAGGGTTTACAAAGTTTAGATGAAGGGAATAATGAAAGTGTGACATTATTTTTTTAATAATATTTATAATTAATTCATGATAGTGATTTTCTAAAATTTTATTTATTTGAAAAAAAAGCTAAATTAATGGGCAATTTTACGTTTTTAATATAATTTTTATTTAAAAAATAAACGTTCTAATAAATCCAACATAGTCTTCAACATACATAAAGTGAGGTAGGACTGAGATTGGAGAATATAATGCCCATCTTGGCCCCGTTTTGCTAAAAAAAAAGAAAAATCTTCCCCCTCTCTCCTTCATTTTCGTTTAAATGGGAACTTCTCATCAGAGGGTAGGTTAAATGGACATATCTAATCGTAACTCACCTTATTATCAACTTTGTCGTCTTTATATCATTAAAGATTAAATGCAATAACTCAAAATCAAAACGTTGTTATATCAATCACCGACCAACTCGTTATATAAAAGACAATAAAGGTTAGAGGCTCAAATTTTCACTTCTCCCCATTGTTCGTTGACTTAAAAATAAGAGATTTTTAGATAAGAGATTTTTAGATAAGAGATTTGACATCATTGGACAAGAGTGGAAGGGAAGGAGAACTAGTTTTAAGAAGACTACATACCATATTTCTTTTTAACATTATCTAGCTTAAGACTACGGTATAAATAAAGCTAACAAACTAACTAACACATTGCCTTCTCTTTTGTACTCTTGGCACAATGTTGCTCCCTTTTCTTTTGCATCCTCGTTGACGACTCGGTCACAACCGGAATAATGTCCGAGTCGTCTTCAGGTGCACCAACAGTTAATTTAGCCACATGAGCCTTTACTTTCTCCACCAAAGCATCTGCGATGGACTCCATTGCCAAAACAACCTTAACAGCAGTACACCTTTGGCCATTGTCATAGAAAGGACACGAGAAGGAGAATGAAATATTCTTTATAAGAGTGTGAAAACCTCTCCCTAGCAGATGCGTTCTAAGAACCTTACCGGAAAGCCCAAAAGGGAAACCCCAAAGAGGACCATATTTACTCGCAGTGGGCTTGAGCCGTTACAAATGGTATCAGAGTCAAACATCGGGCGATGTGCCAGCGAGGACACTGGATCCCGAAGGGGGTGGATTGGGGGATCCCACATCGATTGAAGAAGAGAACGAGTGTCTACGAGGACGTTGGGCCCTAAAGGAGGGTGGATTGTGAGATCCCACCTCGGTTGAGGAGGAGAACGAAATATTTTTTATAAGAGTGTGGAAACCTCTCTCTACCAAACACGTTTTAAAAACTTTGAGTGGAAGCCCGAAAAGAAAAGTTTGAATAAGACAATATCTATTAGCGGTGGGCTTAAGTTGTACTCTGCCGTAAGGATGAAGAAGAAGAACAAGAACAAGTTGTCTTCTTTCTATCAAATCAGCCTAGTATAGATTTTCATGGATGTCAAAGAATGGAAACTGGGAAGCAAATACGAGTCTGGTATCAACCAGTATAAACGAATCTGCTCTCACCTGAAAGAAAAGCCTCCCTTTATGATGTAAACGGCATCCTCGAGCACAATGCAGGCGTCTTTGCCTCCCAGTTCCATCTGAAGAGGTATCATGCCTGCCTTCTTTGAGATTGCAATGCCGGTATCCCCACCGATAAAGCTGCACAAAAAAAAGGGAAGTATAAAACAGAGACACCCAAATGGAAGACCTCGTGAATCAAGTGGAATGAAGCAGTGTTTACCTTACACAGTCGACACCCCAATGCATCGTGAGGACATCACCAATCTCAGAACCTTTTCCGGTGACACAGCTAATAAGACCTTTAGGAAAACCAGCTAGGTTGAAGCAATTTTTATTCTTTTAAAACTTACAATACTTTTATAGGCATTTCAAAACTATAATAGTGGGTAGAAATACGGTCGAATGTTGGGTGGAAATTGAGACTCCGAATGTGGTGTTAGATCCAAATTTTCATTTCAGGTCGCCACTCCAAAAAACTTGTCCTCAGTTCGGATTGTAGGCTGAAATGAAGCTGGAATCGCTAGTAATTGTCAGTTAGCCATACGGCAATGAAATTATTCCTAGGTCTCACACACTGTCCGTCACACTATGGGATCTGGCCATGCCCGAAGTCATTACCTTAACTATAAGGAGGGGATGCTGAAGGTGGGGCTAGTGACTAAAGTGAAGTCGTAACAAGGTAGCCATATTGGAAGGTGCAGCTGGATCACCTCCTTTTCAGGGAGAGCTAATATTTATTGGGTATTTTGGTTTGACACTGCTTCATACCCAAAAAGAAGCAAGCTACATCTGAGTTAAACTTGGAAATGGAAGTCTTCTTTCATTTCTCGACAGTGAAGTAGGAGTAAGCTCGTGAACTTATTATCCTAGGTCGGAACAAGTTGATAGGATCCCCTTTTTTACGTTCCATTTCAAGTGACTATCACATCATTCCATGTCACAATTTACCATTCATATCACCATTACTCAATTTTCATCTAACATTCTAACAAGTTTCGATGTTTTAAAACGTATATAAACGATAAAACAGTTGAGACAGAACATTATCATCTAAAAGTAGTCTTGTCCAAGACATAGCAGAGAAGAAGAGGAGAACATGTACCTTGGAAGTAAGGCAATATTTGGTCCTTTAATTTCCAGGGAAACTATCAGCAACCAAGAACTTCCCCTCTCCCAAGATCCTAACACCTTCTTCAGCACAATATGAAACAAGATCTCCAGATCTCACAACCTTCACACCATTCAAACGTATTCAAACCATTACCACTTCATATTTTTCATGGAAAAAGCTACCAGTCCAACAAAAACAACAACAGTACCTCGGTCACTGGATCTTTGGCCGGCATTGCAATTTCCTTCACCAAGCACTCAGCAATGGGGGCTTTGTGTTCTTTCAAAATCGCAGCAGCTTTGTGAAGAACCTCAGCTCTCCTCCACAATGGAGTCTTTGCCCATGATTCCTGAGCAGCTTTGGCTATTTCCATCACTTTATTAACCTCCTCTTGGTTACAGGCTTTTTATCAAACACCTTACAGGCATAAATTTCCGTCTAAACACTCTCATACTTCACAAACATTTCTATTAACCGCCAACAATTTTTCAACAAATGTCTCGTAAATCGAACTTCAGAATCTCAGAATTCGAAGAGAATAGAAGAAAATCATGGAGAGTTGGGTTCTTTTTGTTATACCTTGAACTCTGTACTTCGTCTTCCTCGTTGTGGGGATAATGGCGACGGTTTTCCCCGATGAGGATTTCTTTCTTCCACTCTCCTTCGGCATAGTATTTGTACACTTCACCATAGAGAATCTCTGCAAAAACTCCATTACCTGCCATGGAAATTCATCAGAACAGAATTGGGTATTTGGGGAAGAATCCGAAGATTGAACCATCGACCTATAAATTTGTAATTGGTATGGTTTTTCATTTGAGTTGAACAATAATTGACATGTACTGGTTTATTTAAAATCGTAGATCCAAATCTTTCTTACCTAATTTATTGTATGAAAATCGAATATAGAAACACTAATTATCGTAATCGATAAGGAGAGGATTTCAATAAGAACGTGACCAACGAATTTGGGGTCCGAATTTGGTTAGAAGATGAAGGTGAGGATTTCAAAGAAAGATAAAATTTCTCTACGCATTCAAACTTTATTTATTTTTTTTTTTTAATGTTCAAGTTGAGCGAGCGAGCAATGTACGATACAAATTTTGATAGCGATCTATTTGATCCATATAATTTTTCTACAACTTTCTTAACATAAAATGTCGTTTTTGATATAATTAACGAGTACGAAGATTTGAATCTCTGATCTCAAAAGAAGAAGTACATATCAATTATTATTCAAATAGGTTAAATTTCACCTAAAATAAACCCTAAACAAGGTTCGAACCTCATTCGATAATATTTTTATTTTGGCTTCTCGTTTCTTGTTTTCAATTCCACAAAAACAAAAGCGAGAAACAAGAAATCGATACCGAACCCAATTTCGTTCTTTTGTTCTTCATAAATAAGAATTAGAAACGTTATCAAGCATGTTAAGATTTTTGTATTTTCTCTTATTTTTAGGGTCCTATTATATTCAAATTCGAGTGTAACCCAGTAGATTTACATCAATTATCATTTCGATTATCGATAAGTTCATTAAATAGTGTCTCTCCTCCAAGAAAGTTGGGCGGGTGAGCGGGTGATGGGGACGTGTTTGTCACTAACATAAAATTCAAAACTATTCTCTTAGCTCATCCTTTATTGAAGAGGTCCCCGTCTTTGAATATAATGCATAGTGGGAAGGAATTTATGGATAGTATAATTCAAAGTTTGATTATATTTTAGTTAAGTACTTTAATAATTATTATGTTTTTATTCCTTCTTCAAATTAAATGTTTAATATTACAAAACAATAATTAATTAAAATGAATAAATAATATAATATTTTAGATATTAAATTGTAAAGTTATATAATTCAAATTTGTTATATTTATTAACGGAAATTAATTGGATTTTACAGTTGCGGGAAAAAGAGGAAAATTTCAAAAACTGCTTTCATTGAGAGTCGAACTCAAGACCTCCCGCTTACTAAACGGGTGCTCTAACCAACTGAGCTATGAAAGCTCTGTTTGCCATTCTTAACAATATTTTATTACTACTAGTGTATTTAAGGAGATACAACATTTTGAAAAGAAAATAATAAATCTGCTAAATAAACTGAAATGTTTAATATATCCTTTTTATTTTGTTTCCCTTAAATATCTAAATTTTTAAAGTTGTGTTTTATATGTTCTTAATAAATTTAAAATATTAAAAATTAATTGATATAAATATAAATTTTATATTTAATAAATTTGTAACTTTTAAATATATCATTCTCGACCAAACAGACATTTAATTCAATTTTAGAGACCAAAATGAAATTTAATTTATTAAATTTAAATATATTGATAATTTTCTAAATTTTAGTATTTCTTTTTCAACTTACTTTGAGCTCTTATTTATTTATTTATTTATTCAATTTTTTTCATTTATTTATTTTAGTCTCTATACTACAATTTTACCCAAAATCGCTTTTTTTTTTTTTTTTTTTTTTTTA